ATTTACCGATAACATACATCCATTTCACTATTTACGGGGGACATTTTGACTGTAGTCCGTGGACTGAAATGGCACACAAAAGGTATTCGATTGTCGTCCGGTGCTGGTAGATTAGAACAATAAACGTTTCGATTAAGTAATTTAAACACGAAGCGGAGAACTAACCGTATTCGCCTAATGATTCGGCGGGGTTTAAAAATGTCAACAATGGCTGGTGAGAGGAATGAGGCTGTCGTAAGCCGTTTGCATTTAAATGTAACTGTTCTCCGAAACCGATTTTGTATCGATTACCGTAGCTTGCGTTAAACCCAAAGTTTACTCGGTGACTAACCCATTGAGTCGTGATCCACAATCGAACGTACACATGCGCAGTACAGCGACTTCAACCCGATTGGATTTTCGAAGTCTTTGCGGCTTCGGGTCACAAAACCTAACGTGGATGACGCCTTGTTTCGCGCACGCGTGCCGCGAGTATTAAAGAGGAGAGACGCGTTCAAAAATACACCTTAAATCAGAGGTTTTCAATTATTAACATGTATTGGCAGATTCGCGATTATCGTCATTAGTACATCCACTCCCACTAAAACAAAAACCCCGGGTGGCGCCTCCGGGCGGAGAGACGACAATATTAATACCGGACACCGAATAAATCACACGTTGATAACGGACTCCGGAATAATAATAATAACATGCTCAATGACTATTTGAGCGTTTGAAATACAATGGCCATTATACAGGAGTGAAAGATGAATTTATTCGCAAAACATTTCGAAATCGGATTTATAAACAAAACGCGACACGGTTTATTTTCCATTCGGTTGCTGCGTTGCATCGTGTTGCATCGGTGTTTACTCGTGTGCGCGACTATGTAGTGTTGTTCACTATTATTCCATACTAGAAGGATTAATACTATACTGCATGCAGTATTTGTAATATTTTTTAATTTTAATAAATCAATTTTGATTCACAGACAGACGTCAATTAGAACTAAAACTAATATCAATAAAACACAGACCAAACCGTTACAAAAAACAAGTATTTATTGATAAACATATAAACAAAAAATTATATATCTCGTTTAGACTATGCTAATTTAAATAGTAAATCGTAATAACAATTAAAGATCTTGACTATAATTTTTAACTTTAAAATGCTGTAATATGTACAAATAAAAAAAAAAAATGACTGTTTTAATAACAAACATTTTTGTAATGTTTAATTATTGTTTGGCTAAGTACCTACAATCGCGCTCTGTCTGGTATTGAAATTCTCGGTTTTTCATTTAGGACAAAATTGTTTAACACACCTGTTAAAACTGGACGCGAACGAAATTCGAGAATGGTAAAAAAAGGTCAAAAGAAACGAAATTTTGCCGAACGCAATATACATACTCTATTTTTCGTTTATCAGACTTTGGGACGCAATCGACCGTATCCGACAGAATCCGGTCCGCAAACCGTATGCGAGGCGAAAACGTTTCCTCTATACATTATTATACTATAATAATACATCGCAGTATTTTTATTTGTTTATTTTTTGTCATTATAAATTTGTTTTATAGAACGTTTTACGAATAACAAGCAGCTCTACAATTTCACATTGATTTTATTTTTGTCACTCTTATTTATCAGTTCAAACCCACTAGGTAACTATTTTTGATTTTCAAATGGCAACTCCTATTGAAAATTCCACAAACAAACGGAGTATTAAAATAATAAATTTTGACATTTTCGATTTCCGTCAATCCGTTGACGAGATATTCAATTTTTAAATTTGGGTCGGGGGAAGTAGTGGTGCATTATCAAAACGCCGCGCGCCGTGCCATCACACAAATAATGCTCCGATATTTCGATAAAATTGAATACTTCCCGAGATAACGAATGTTTTACGATAGATTGATCGCCCTGTATACTGTTATCTTTTTTCCCGCTACTCTTGGACACTTCTATAGCGGCTCCCTCTGGACGAGCCGAATTCAAACACGGGATTAGTGTGTTGTTGTACGGGCGAATCGAAGGGATAAACACTTTGTTAAATTATTTTGCTATTCCACAAGCTACACACACTACACTGTACTTCGGGAGGTCGGCACGGACCTCTCAAATGAAATTATAGGGGACGTAATTTTGTATATTTTTGTACGGTCCGTGACAATACAGTCCACCCGTTTAAAACTTTGAAATTCAATGAGATCACTTTCCGGGGCATTTCGCGTTAGCGTCAAGGACGTGTCTTTTGGGCGTGTTGACTTTCAACACGCGCATAATTTGTATGCTGAAATCTCGCGATTTTTCCGATATCATAGTGTGTAGGTACACAGTTGTGATTGCGATTGTAGAATTAAAAACGGGCGGTATGGATTCGGCTCTGGTTTCGCTGTTCGCGGGGAGGGGAGGGGGGGTTTCCGAATCTGGTGAGGTGAAGTCGAGTCGTTGACTTGAAGTGTATAGTCCCGGCGGCATCGCGAGTGCAGCGCACAGCGCACGGCGCGAGATCATTCGATTTCTTTTGATCTGGTTCCGACACGCTCTGCCAATCGCGGCGATTGAAAAAAATAATAATAATTATAATTAGCAAATTGTTCACATTCGCGAGAACACAGGGCTTATGGTTTACCAGTACAATATTCGAAAAAATCTTTCGGACAGTCAGTTGTTGACTATTTAGGTCCAACTCATTTTAATCAAATGCCAACATTTCAAGAAAAAATAATTCATGAAGGTAAAGCTAATGTGCAAAAAATTGTATATAAATGGTTATTCTCCGATTTAATTTAATTTAATATCTTCTTAATTAACAGTGTTTTTCGGTGATTTTGTTTTCGTTTTATTTTGTAATCCAAACGTCTATATTTATGTATGTATACAAGTCATATTATTATATTTTTCATTTTAAATTATATTCTGTACAAATTATAACTATAGTCGCATGTATCTAATTTTTTTTTTTTTTTTTGGTTGTACTTGTTGGTATTAGATTTATTTTATCTATTTTTTAATATTACTATTGTTAACTCTCTACTCCACCACAAGCTTCGGCTTATAGGAGTAGATATATCTTTACTTATACGATGTTTTGTATATTTAAAGAATAAATTTAAAAAAAAAAAAAATAATAAATTCCGATCGAATAGTCGCGCGAATTCGTTGGCCAATTATCGTTGCAGTAATGAACGTGGCGCGTTGAACCCGAACGGCGTACCCGATCCGCGGATTATCGCGTGCCCCGCGAGAACACACCGCAACGTCGCGCGTTTCCGTGCGTACCGAAACCGGTGACCGCGCACGCGGCCGTTATCGTCGCGGCCACGCGTGCGGCGTTCTACGGGCGCGCTCGCCGAACGCCGCGCGCGCCGCTGCCGCGATAAAAAACCGCGGCGTTCCGGCAGCGGACCCGGCGTCCCGCCGCCGCCGCCGGCGTTCCGAAACGTTACGTCGACCGGGAACGCGGTAACGTCGCGTGCGGTAACGTCTTGGCGGGTTGCCGGGATTGATTCATGACGTGCCGGCGGAGGCGAGTGTGCGGCACGGAGATACCGAACGGACCGAACGCGTCCGCGGAGACGAGAACTACCGCTGCCTGCGCGGCGACGACCGTAAACAGGCGTTGGAATTATCGCGGGGCAAACGCGAACAGCAGTCGCGGTGACGAATGGAATGTTTTCCGACATTAATTACCGGGCGGTTTAATACGCGCGGCCCGTGCACGGACGAACGCCGCCCGCCTGTTCGTTCGGCGGCGCGACGTTTCGCGCAGGCGCCTCCGCGTACGGGGGGGGGGGGAGGCGTTTAACGTTGGAAACGATCGAATATCTGTACAATTTCGAGTGAGACGAAACGAAAATGCCCGTGTTGTGACGGTCGCCGGTGTGTGTATCACCCGCGGCGTTTCGGGCCGCGGTATCGCTCCGACTCTATTCGCGCTTTCGAAAACGTCCGTTGGCGTGACACCACAATCAGCGGGTCTTTTACGTGACGGCGCCGTAAACGAATCGTTTCGGAATCGCACGGTGACGAGTTAAACTCGAACGCGTTCGGCGATTTACGTGGTATCGAACCGGGGTGTATGCGCCCCCGTCTGATTTCACGTTAACGGCGGGACCGTACGCGAGCCGACGGCCGGGGGAACAACGGGGAGGGAGGGGGGCCGTTTGGGGATCCGGACGTTTAGCGGGCGGCCGGCGCCGCTGGAGCTAGGGTGCATTTCGTACAAACGGCGTAGGATTTTCGTTTTCCGTAGAGCGCGTTCGTTTTCAAAGTCGCGTGAAAAGTTGAAAATAGCGAAATTGCATTCGGCCAAAAACCGTTTTTGAAAACGAGTGTCTTATGTTCATTTTAGGCGATAATTTCGACTGTCAATAATAAATTATCGATTTCGCTCTTTATAATATTACAAGACGGGGCCGAGTGTATTATTATTTTTTTTTTTTTTTTAGATTCGCGCCGAACAGATCAGCTTTGAAAACAAATGTATTTAAACGCACGCACGCCCGCTATTGGCCACAATAAATAGGTGCGTTTTAATATTTTACAATTTTATCGATTCTGTGCGGAGTGAGGATTCAATAGCCGCGTTCGTCGTCTCACACGTTGTATACGAGACGACCGACACTTATATCGGACAGTTCGTTGAACGAATCGCGCGTACTTATTGATGCAGGCACCCGTGCGGATAGCGACGGTTTACCTGCAATAGGCGCCCGCAGATTACCGCAGGGCCGTATTGTCCATTCGGGATAAACGCGCAAACAGTATAATATTATTCGGGCGAAAACCTGGCCGACCGTCCTACGCCGTGTGGCGTTAATGTTTTTAACACGCCCACGCGTCACGGCGCATTAATACATTAATACATATGTATTTTGATGATTTGAATTCGGCGGGACAAACGCTAGTACGCGAAGTCGGCAGCGCGTCGCAACACGACGCGTTCAACCCAAACACCTCTGAAAACCTCGGGTAATCGAGGACACCCGTTAGACGTGGTTCGCAGGTTTCGTAATGGCCGCTGTAGATACCGAGGAATACGCCGCGCGAAAATTCGAAGTGTCCGAAACCAATCCGAGACCGCTGGCGCGCGTTTGTGAGACGTTATTCAAACATACTGTCGGACGGCCGAAATCCGAGAGTCTAAACACCGCGGTCGCTGGAAGTCGAAACGTCGGTTATCGAGAAGCTAGTAAACGTGACGGTTTTAACCGGAACTAATCGATTAAAATACGGTCGGCGGACACTAATCACGTCGTAATGTCGAATTATCGTTATTTATTCAAGCGGTGCGCCGCGGGGTTTGCCGCGCGCCTCGACCTTGTGCGCTTTTGATTGGACATCGGCGGACTTCCGTGGCGTCCCGACGTTCGCATTGGACCTTGAGCGTAGTCTATGTGTTCGTTATGACCGAAATAACATTTCAATTAAAAAGCGCGTCCCCCTGAAATCAGATGTATCTTAAGGCCTGCAAATTACCACTCGGTGTAATTTCAAGCCGAAAAGACTATGTGCCCTTTACGTACGCGGCCAAAACGCAAAAAAAAAAAAAAAAACCGCTCTTAATATTTCCGTTACTAACCAACGACAACCGTGTTGTAATAGTTTTGTAGTGTCCGCGCAAAACCTAATCGTATTACTCGCTATTAACAAGCACTATTGCGAGACTGAAAAAAATAATTTATTATTACTAAAAGTTTCAGTTTCTTTCGCGTTCGCTTGTTATTTGTATTTGCATCCGAAATGGAAAACAGCAGTGGTGTTGCAGATCCGACACGCGAGAGAAGAGCCGTTACGATGGCTAAATTAAACTCGTTGCCGAGGACTAAGTGCGCGGCTGATGTCGGCTGCGAATTCGCAGAGTTGTATTATTCCGTGATGCGTACTTCACCAGAGTACGCAAATGAATTTTACGACGAACGCNGCGAGTTCCAAACGGTGTTTGAAGACGGGTCGGCCATCGTCGTCAGGACTCGGTTACAGGTAAAGCACATTTTGATGCGACCTATGTCCGCGTGCCGCTATTTAGTTAAATCGATTATTCCGATGTCCTGTGGCGGATCGTCCGGTGGCGTGATGGTTATGGTGACCGGCGAGCGGTTTACGCAAAATCTCCTCTTGGAGCACCGTCCAGAAAGGATGTTGGGTTACGCCATTGTTGTGTCCTTAACACAATATATTCCCGAAGGACCAGTCGCTCACCACCAGACATTAAGCCACCAGCCACTAACAACATTCGGTGGTGGTGGTGACAGCCAGGCTATCACTGGCGCCGAAAAACATGTCAACACGTCCGTCCTTAAAAAGCCAGATTACTTGATTTCCGCTATCATAAATTCAGACTTCGACCGTGCCGCCGAAGTCACAAGGGAAACGGTAATATCTTCCGAAATGACGCCCATTAAACAACCCGATACCGCCGCTGAAACTACGTCCGATTCGGAGCCCACGTCTGAAAAAACCGCTCCCGGTAATGTTATAAAACCCGAAACCGACAAAGAAAATACTTCCGTCCCAAAACTCACGTCTGAAAAAACCGCTCCCGGTAATGTTACGGAACACGAAACCGACAAAGAAAATACTTCCGTCCCAGAACTCACGTCTGAAAAAACCGCTCCCGGTAATGTTACGGAACACGAAACCGACAAAGAAAATACTACCATCCCAGAAACCGTCTCTGAAAAAACCGTTTCCGAGAACAAAGAACCTAAAGCTGCCAACGAAATCACAACCTTCGCGGATCCTGCTTCTTCAAATAACATTCAAGAGAACATAGAACTCAAACCCGGCACTGACAATAAGAAAATTGTAAAAAAAGTAATTAATTTAGTTCTGTTTTCTGCTGTCTGTTGGGCTGCGTATAAATACCTGAAATAAATGCGTTGCATTTTAACCGAAAAAAAAGAGGGGTTCGGTAAATGGAATGTAACTACATTATCAGAACTACATTATTAGAACTACATTATTAGAACTACATTATTAGAACTACATATCTGGTCGGACGATTAGGTACGGAACGCAGGAGTGTAGGTTTAAATATGGTTGATTTTTGGATGGTTTAAGATGTACTGATTACCGGTAATGGCGAATCTCGTTGCCGATATATCGGGGATCGCTGACCTTATAGCGTAAGGAATACCACGTCGGAGACGTGTAACACTTCAATTATGCGTCTGAATCGCCACTTGAACTGGGGTACCGATCACGTCATCGGGTTAAACGTTGGGGGATCGGGACAACCGGGAGTAACTTAGTGACTGGTTGGTCAACCTCAACAATAAACTTTTTCCTTGTCTTAAGCCAGTTTGTTTTTCTGTTAAACATTCTGTTAAAAAAACTCTTTAAACTTGACGGTGTCTTTCCTTATCCGAGTCAAGCCAATGTCACGGACACCATAAGTCGGTATTTCGGTGTCGCGTCATTTCGACGAGTTAATTTCGACTTTTTAATTATTATTATTGACTTTTCTTTAATTGTTTGTAATCTCTGTTTAATAAACAGGGTTGAATAATAGCCAAAGGGTAGTTTAATTGTTTTTTATATTTTCTTCAAAAAATATTAGGTTATCATAAAAATGTATTAAACCATAATTGTAGAACAAATTATTTTCTATAAAAAATGTATTTACAATATTTTTCGTAAATCTAATATTTCCCTCTTAAAAATTAATTCTTTTGGTTTTTTCACAAAATTTAATTTTTTTACAGTGGTTTCAATATATAATATTAATAATATTTATGTAATAATAAACGAAATAGTTTAAGGTGTATTTCTAAGTACTAAGTAGTTTTTTCTTCAAATGGTGTATNAGTACGGAACGTAGGAGTGTAAGTTTAAATATGGTTGATTTTTGGATGGTTTAAGATGTACTGATTACCGGTAATGGCGAATCTCGTTACCGATATATCGGGGATTGCTCACCTTATAGCGTAAGGAATATCACGTCGGAGACGTTTAACACTTCAATTATGCGTCTGAATCGCCACTTGAATTGGGGTACCGAGCTGGCCTGGATCGTGACCGCTTCATTGAATTGAACGATGGAGTATCGGGAAAACCGGGAGTAGCTTAGTAATTAATGAGAGACGACAGAAGACCGAACAATAACAGAATAATTTTAATTTTATACATACATTTATTTTAAAAATAATAGAGATTAATAATATCAACAGAGATAATGCACAATTTAAAATTTGTATACATAAGTAATACATGTTTCGTTTATTAAGTATATTTATTTTATCGCGTCTTTTACAGACATTTCTTTTGAAAAACAACAAGGATTTATAATATAAACAGTAGGGTGGTCCTTAGTTGTAGAAGATAAAAAAAAATATTATTGTTTTTATTGCTGGACCCTACCATTTTTTTTTATAATCATATAAAAGTTATATGTAAAAAAATTGAGCATAATTACTCATCCCTTTCCCGTGCCCCAAGAGACTTAAATATAGGACAGAGGGTAGTTAAACGGTTTTTTTTATTTTATTCGAAAACCATAAGATTTATCATAAAAATGTATTGAACTTAAATTGTAGAATAAATTAAGTACTATAAAAAAATGTTTTTACAAAATGTTCGTAAATCTATTATGCTATATAATAAATAACAAAATATAAAATATTTAATTTATTTGGGAAAATTCATCACCTTTTGAAATTATTTATATATTATTATTAAATTTGGTCTGAAATAATTATTATCATGGGAATATTGTACATATCTTTTAGTTAATACCTATTTTTACGAATTGGAATTCATGCTTTTTTCCAGAATATGATACATTCATCAATAGCTAGATATGCACTTTCTGACAAATTCATTTTCACTATTCGTATATTAAAAAATAAAACTTTCATACAGTCCCTTAGTGTAGGTAGTTTACTGCCGAGAATTTGATTATCCATTGATCCAATCAAATATATTGTCTTTCGTGGCATTTTTAACAAACGTCGACAATTTTATTTTAATAAATACAAAAAACAATTTAAAAACTTAACTTTAAATAGAAACAATAAAATATCATTAATATCATACACAGCACATGACGTTACGACGATCACGGGTTGACTAACAAATAATATTCATAAATTCTATGGAAACTATTTAAAGATAAATCGTAATATCTAATAATCGATAAGATAACTGAGTTAATGGACTCAATAAAATAGGTATTAACTAAAAGGTATGTACAATATTCCCATGATAATAATTATTTCAGACCAAATTTAATAATAATATATAAATAATTTCAAAAGGTGATGAATTTTCCCAAATAAATTAAATATTTTATATTTTATTATTTATTATTTAGTATAATAGATTTACGAAAATTTTGTAAAAACATTTTTTTATAGTACTTAATTTATTCTGCAATTTAAGTTCAATACATTTTTATGATTAATCTTATGGTTTTCGAATAAAATACAAAAAACCGTTTAACTACCCTCTGTCCTATATTTAAGTCTCTTGGGGCACGGGAAAGGGATGAGTAATTATGCTCAATTTTTTTACATATAACTTTTATATGATTATAAAAAAAAATGGCAGGGTCCAGCAATAAAAACAATAATATTTTTTTTTATCTTCTACAACTAAGGACCACCCTACTGTTTATATTATAAATCCTTGTTGTTTTTCAAAAGAAATGTCTGTAAAAGACGCGATAAAATAAATATACTTAATAAACGAAACATGTATTACTTATGTATACAAATTTTAAATTGTGCATTATCTCTGTTGATATTATTAATCTCTATTATTTTTAAAATAAATGTATGTATAAAATTAAAATTATTCTGTTATTATTCGGTCTTCTGTCGTGTCACATTAACTACTAAACTACTCCCGGTTGTCCCGATCCTCCGACGTTTAACCCAATGACGTGATCGGTACCCCAATTCAAGTGGCGATTCAGACGCATAATTGAAGTGTTACACGTCTCCGACGTGGTATTCCTTACGCTATAAGGTCAGCGATCCCCGATATATCGGCAACGAGATTCGCCATTACCGGTAATCAGTACATCTTAAACCATCCAAAAATCAACCATATTTAAACTTACACTCCTACGTTCCGTACTTAACCATTCGACCAGACGTGTTTGGCCATTCCATTTGCCAAACACTTCTTGTTATTCTTGTTTGTAATTATATTAATACTAACAGTCTTGTATTAGGTTTTCATAATTTTTCGTTATATCATGTTGCGCGGTTTAATTGTAACACTCTACGCGTTCACCATTTAAAAACTCTTTTATTCCGCACATATACCAAACCTACTTAAAATAAACTATTATATGTAAACTAATATTTAATATTTGTAAAATAAAGACAATTTTTTTTTTTATATTAAAAAAATGTGTTAAATTTTATGCAACGACGGCAAATCGCCGGCTCGTTACAATAAGTGTACCTCTTCTTTTTGGAAAAAAAAATTGAAAAACCTTTTTTCGCATTTCAAAACGCCTGGATGTGCTTAATTTTTGTTTTGTACGCTCGATTGCATTTCAATACTGTTTCGACTTTGATCGCACATAATGTTACAAACAATTTTCGGTAACGTGCGACCCTCATCGTCCACCGCCCGGTAGTTTCGACATAACTAGAGTCGAGAATGACGTGCAACGGTAAAAAATCTCGACAAAATAATACTATTCCAGTTTTGGATATTGTTTTACTAATTATATTTTTTCATATTTTGAACGGAGTGAAGAATACGTAGGTTTTACCATAATATTTTCTCATCTGTTAACAACTTTTCTACCAGAAATCTCGCTCCGATTTTCATGGGTAGTACATTCTCCGAAAGGAAATTTTATCTGGGCGGTATATTAAGGAGTCGTTTTTTGATTTTCCAAGCGGTCTTTGTAATAGTTGGAAAAATCCGAGAGATTTCGCGAAATGTATTATCCTCAATTTTGTTTTTATTGTGATTCGATTAGATATATTCGTAGAGACTTAAAATTTGAACAGAGAGCTTGACCGTGAATATTACGGCTATTCAAAACATGTATAACCGAAATTCGATCAGAATCGTTTTTCGTTGTCAAAGATTAATTGTCGCGTACAGATATACATTCAATTACCTCCTGTATACTATACCTTCCCAACTTCCCACCTACAACAGTCGCTCACCCATCACGCGAAGTACGTACGTGTCTTTTTTTTTTTTCACTTTAATGCCACACTTTTAAAGTTCAGAGCTAATTCTTGGCCCACGAGGGTAAGAAGGTCATCGGCCCGAAACATTAGACGATAATACGAGTATAATGATATTTTACAGTACGCACTTAGGTACGTATCCAAATTAGTCCAACGTTGGTACGAATTAAACACTTATACGTTAGCTTTTCGCGTAGAATTTACCGTTGGTCGATTTTGAAAAAAAAAACGTTGTTAAGCGTTTTAACGTTAGTTTAATACTCGTGCGTGTCCCTAAAAACAATTCAAACATCTAAAAGACCGGCCGCGTAATAAACAAACACGGATAATGCGCATTCTTACCTCCGAATTCGATAATAGGTGAAAATTCGATCTAAGATTAAACCCACCCCTTAAACAATCGGTTCTGGTCCTGGTGTCGGGCTCTCTTCGCCCAACACCGTTTATTTTATAAATTTAAACGCTAGGTATATACGAGTATTCGATAACGCAGAGAGTTATAAAAACGAATATCGCTTTTGTCTAGAGCTAGAAAATTCGATTATTCCTTTCGCGCCTCTAGCCGAAAAGTTTTCCGCATAATATTATAATATTCCCTCTTCTCGCTTTCGGCCGTCCGATTGGTTTACCGCCGTGTTTTTGTAACTCAATTCCTTCAACTCCTCGCCACTATCCACGTTTATACTCTTACGATTCGTTTCATGGACTCCATATCCTGGGCCTTCCTCTTCCGATATGACGTTACCTTCTATAACGCATTATTAGATCGCGGCGCAGTAGACGTCCTATATCATTTTGTACCTTCTGATACTTTTACGTTACGTCGAGTTTTTCGTTTTTCATCAACACTGTCCGGTAATATTTCTTCGGCACGATGTTGGAGCTCGACACAGTACACATAAGAATAATATATACATGCCCGTGTTTAAAATCTCGTTCAGATGTGTGTGAATATAGTGTTTTAATCGTACATTTATGTTTGTGGAAAACGGGTAAACGGCGTAGACATTTTTACCTAGCTATTTACCGTTTATCATTTATAATACAGCCCCGAAAACGTAACTATAACGAGTTTTACAAATAATAATTATAATGTCTGTTGGTACTCGCATTTTCGTTAACACTTGTCGGCGCATTAACTATGTTCAAAAAGTTTCGAGCGACAACAAAACTTTGTAAATAGGCAAATGAATACGCAGGCGCGATGCTTCAAAGTAAAATATTATGTAGATAGGAAATAATTTTGAGTTTCCCGGACCGTTTTGTTTTAGAGACATGATCCGGTTAAAATCGGAAGAATGAAAAGTCTGAGTAAAATGCTCGTATAAGTATGGTGTGGAATTGAGTGGGCAGGCCTAGTTAGCCCGGGCCTACTCACGTTTTTTCGAAAACTAACACAATTTTAAAATAAAAAATTAATATTATTAGTTTTTCCCAGAAAAATATTTCTAACTACGTTTCTGTCGCGGATTTCAACGTAAATTTCACTTTTAGATTTTGAGTGAAGCGAAAAAGATTACGGTTTTACCAAGATGTTTTTTTCTTTCTTTTTTTTTCTGTGGACAACCAGCGAACTTACTCTGATTTGTACGATTTGGGAAAACCGGGAAAAACGTAGGGAAATTGGGAAAATCGGTACAAATATTATCAAAGAAAAAATATAAAGCCTATTTAATTGTTTAACTATAAAATGACATGTATATTGTTGACAAAGCATCGCTATCAATTGAACTCCGGTCAGAATCGTTTTTTCGTGAACAATGGTTTATCGTTGCTTACAGGTATACATTATTATTATCATCATTAACAGTAGTTGCACGCGTTCCTATTATCCTAGGACGTCTCTTTTTTCTTCTTTTTTTTTTTTGCGATCTAAGAATGCTTTCCAAGAACACAATTCGATTCGTGTAGATCGTAACAGAAACTATTTAAAAGTTTATTTTACATTTTGTTGCATTTTTCGCTTGCTTTTTTACGGCATTTTCAGAACATTTTTCAGTTATTTTATTTGTTTAAAATGCGTATTTATAAACCTGTTAAACGGATTAATAGGTTAAATGAAATAAATTCAAAATATCTGGAGAGAAAATACCTAAATACCGGGGCGAAGAAGAATTCAAAATATTATCTCAAGTTACGTTGTTTTCATGAAAATCGCTTTAAAAAGGTTTTAGATATTTTTCGTTAATACAATCGACAACATCTGTTTCTTATTTTTATTAACGGCTGCGGTGCTTTACTCGGCTCAAGCAAATAACAATAACAAAAGTGAAACTTTTATTTTACATCTTTCGTTATTTTTTCCGTTTCTGTAGCAGTTTTTTCGTATCATTTTCGAGTAATATTTTCTCTTCTTCTTCACTGGTATTTACAGCTCTATTAGAATTTTTGCCGCCATCACTACATCCCTCCATCTCTCTCCATTTTGAACAATTTCCTTCCACTCTTGCACTCCCAGGGCTTTAAGATTCTTTTCTACTACGTCTACCCACCTCTTCCTGGGTCTGCCTCGTGGCCTTTTCTCTTCCAGTTTCCATTCCATAACTGCTCTGATGATTTCTTCATTGCTTTTACTCGTAACATGACCTCGCCACTGAATTCTTTGGGTAATTTTTTAGGGGGACATTTTTGGCTCTTTTTCCTAGCATTTTTCGATAGTTTTCGGGTATTCAAATTCAGGCGTTAATATAATTAGTATAAGCGAAATCGTTTTTCGAATCCTATATAAACATTGTAACAGTTTTCGAGTTTAAAATTACAACCGTAGTGTATACTGTTACTGTCCCGCACCGAATTGAGTCAAGCGAAACGAGTGCCTCTGTGTCTTATACTGATTATTTTTTACCATTAGTATCGGAACAGGTACCGGAGTAGGTGTATTTTATTCAGTGTGTTACATTTTGTTCTAATTCAACGGTTTCTAGAACGTACTGCAGTTTTAATTATATTTTTTTTAAATTAATTTGTTTTGTTGTTTTTTCCTGATAACACAACACCTTTTTTATCTTCTGGGAAAAAACAAATGTAGGTAATCGTATAATTAATTTTGGGGTTATTACTATTATTATTATTTTTTTTTTTTTGTCAATGACTTAATTAAACGGATTTTTCAATTTCGGTGACCCAATTGTTTTTTTTTCTTTGCCCGTTTTAAATTCTAGGTAAATAAGTAAAAATGACGTTGTCATTTTTAATTTCGCCTAATGACCGATATCATTCTTAAAAATACACACTCCAAGAATACACGAACTGCACTTTTAATCATTGTAAAACATTTTATAATATTCAATAGGTACGCGCATTTTTGACGCCGTCGGATGATTCGAAACTTTTCGCGTTACTATTAACAATATATTTTTATTGATTTATTCCGTCGTTCACAATACTCCGTACCGTATTTTTTTATACATATGCTATCGGGCTGCGTTTACTATCATTATTATTACGTTTTTATAGAATTGTACGAATATTCGAAACAGTGAACCAGTTACGTCAAAATGATTTACTGCGCGGCACTTTTTCCCCGGTGACAAGCCGCACGGGAAACCAGGTTAAACTTGTTTTATTATTTATTTGAATCGGATAAAAATACATAATCAATACGATTAAAATAATGTTGTTTTAGTCGTTTATTATTTATATATATTAGATGACGTACTTTACTCTAATTTCATATAACATATTTATATATGTTTATATTTGCAGATTTTTTTTTTTTTAGACATATTTTCATATTTCACCTACAAAGGTTGCGAAATTAGCGATATTCTTAATGAAAATAAAAAAAAAAATCATCACTAATTACGCGTGTATATCTAATTATAAATTATTAAATCGTTTTTTTTTTTTTTTTTATACGGCCCACGCGTAGAGTCAGTACCTGCTGTCAATTTTAAAAGGTCATTAAATAAATGTTAATAACATCGCAGTAGGCACTTATGAAAAATTAAATTAGTACTCTGTTTTGTTTATTTATATTTTTTTGTTTTTATAAAAAGGTTAGGTTATTAATAATAGTAATTACCGAACGTTATAATAACACCGGTAATATAATGAACGGATGGCGATGCTGTACTTCGGGAGAAAGACCTAGGCGCCTTAGACCAAAGGTTTTCGAAAGGGACGTATTGACGGGAATGTAGTATTACGACCCGTGGCGCGGCTCACAAACGGGCCGAATGACGACGAAGGAGATCAAACGCAGAACTGAGAGATCGAAAATAGAAGGCTAAAACGGACAGGCCGTTTACGGAAAAACATTTTGCGGCGAGATCCTGCGGGGAGACTGCGTAACGCTGGATGTTGCTGCGGGCGGATGTAAAGTCTAATAGAATTGTAGGCGGATATTTTTGGACGGTTAGGTCACGATGTCCGTATCACCAAAACAAACTGTATAACTAATACCGTTTGTCTTTCGAATACTGAATATTTATAGGTTTTTTGCATGGTGTATCGTTTCTTAGTTTCAATTATCGAGTTGACGTGATTTTTACCTTTTGCGGTTACATACATTTTTACATAAATTATACCCGTGATGTCTGTGAGTCACACTACCTATATCCAATAACGGTATTATTGATGATCAACGAGTGAAACGTGGACACGGATCGGAAAAATTGCACGTTTGGTAATTGCGGTCGAAAAAGATAAAACGACCGTGCTTGTGACGATAATAATTTAAATAGATGCCTAATTATTTTAGTTTTTTCATTATATATAAATCGTATTCATCATTGTTGTTTACTTACTGTTTTGTCAGAGGACGAGAGCAAAAAAATACACGTAAAACAATGCGGTCTGCAGCTTGGCCTTATTTTTATGACAATCGAGCAAATATCTATCGTCGTATTTTATTGCCATTTTTTTTTTTTTTTTTTTTTTTCAATTCCGTCGTTCGGCAATTTAGTAAGTAGGTAATTAAAAACCGCGGACCTATTCTGTAACTGTAACTATAATTAGGTATAACTGTTTGATTTGAATGACCAACAGCTGTTTTATGGAGCGCAACATAATTGTCAGTTAAAACGAAAGAAAAAAAAGATCTGATAATGCTAACCGGTGTACCGCTGTTGTAATTAAGAAGTTGGGAAGGTAAAATACGTAAAGTTATTCAATTAATATCCGTACGAAACGATAAATCGTTGCTGAAGAAATACGATTCTGAGCGAAAAACAGTAAAACATGTATTTGAACGCCGTAATGTTTACGATTTTCGTCAAAATTTAAAAAAACTTCTACTCGTGTATACATAAAGAAATACTACATTATACCCGACATTTTTTAACATTGAGTAGCAATCACAAATTAACCTAGTGTCAAATTTTAAAACCAAACAAAAACTATAAAATATCATATCTTTAAGTAGCTTAGAAATCGCCTTGCAAACTGTTTCGAAACTGTTACCAATAAATGTAAATGTGTCTATTTTTCATTGTGGCCTTTCCAAATTATTATGAAAACAGTTTGGAAAGTCAAAAAATGACCGCCAACTAGATTCAAAATTCAACCGAATAAAATTTCTCTTGTCATTATTTGAATGGAGCAAGGTTTCTGGAAGAAAAGTTGTAACAGATTGAAAACAAACAAGTAATAATAAGCACAAAACACAGTAAAACCAATACATTTCTCGCTCCGCGTATAATTTAAATAATAACGCTGACGGGTGTGTCATTGTTGTAGGTGGGAAGTTGGGAAGGCAGGATATATTGAGTAAACGTAATTTATATCTGTACGCAACTACGAACCATTGCTAACGAAAAATGATACTGAGCGATATGCCCGGTTAAACGTTTTTTGGATAAATTAAAATTAAAAACGATTGTATTAATATGAATCTGAAAAATAGATTACGATTGTCATAAATTTGAAATTGGAACGTTGATGAAAATAAATTACAAGGTTTTCATCTAAACTAAGAGTAGCAATACCGAGCGCGAAACTTTGATCTGGATACAAATAACTCGAAAATAGCCGGAATATTTTGAAAATTGTGCTATTTCTACTATACAAGTGATAATTCAAATATTCGTACTCATTTACAACATTTCAAGTTTCTACGGTTATTTTTCACAGAATCGCAACAAAAAAACATTGTTATCGAAATCCATAAAAATCGGTATCTGGTAAATATTTCCGTTTCCCAGCGATTTTCCATCGTTATTACGGAAACGACAAGGACAACAAATCACTTCATCCGTGTATTGACTATTGATAACGTTTTCTGCCCCGGAAATCATCGTTAATGTTGACATTAGGAGCCGGTTTTCTGGTCGAAAACGTGTTTACGGATGGACCAAAAAAATAAAAATAAACAAACACTTACCAAAGTGAAATCAATGCGTTCTTCCTTTAGCGCAGAATCTATAGAATTGATAATAAATAATTAACGACATTTAAATTTTAAAACTAATTTATTATCTTCACGTATAGCAATTTATTATTGCCGTACGATTTGAATAACAATACTGGAAAAGTCGCAACTGTTGTACAAAATCTCCGTTCTAATGTTCCATTTCAATTTATTTGGTACCCATTCGAAAACTTTTGGCTACCTACATGCATTGTTTAAAAACCACCAGAATTCGAACGATCATAATATTTGAATAATCGATGTGAACCGAACAGACTGTCTGTTAAGGTCTTAAGGTCCGACTGTTATTATTATTTTACTAATGCCATTTTCTGTAGTGCGGGTCTTGTGAATGTGACGGCGGCGCAAAGGCGTGTATCCAATAATCACTGCGCACATAGATCAACATTTTGTCTTTAGAAACGTTTTAAAACCGTAATAATATATCCGTGACGGGATCGAGGACATTTTTCATTGCACAAAGTAGGCAACGGAATTAGCGGACGACCGCTTTTTTATTATTTTTTTTTTTTTGTTCTGTACGAGATGTGCGCGTACGTTTGTAAAAGGACACGATTAGCGTGTTCGGTTCGAGTTCCGCCGTACTGTGTCCATATTCGTACATACGCACAACACACGAGTACAGTTGTTAAAATTAATCGCCGGCTACAATTATTGTTCGGATTTACGTGGTGTTTTTTTATTCTCTCACGGCGTGCTGCTTAAATGTCAAAGATTCAAAAGCAACGAGTTAATTTTGCTGACGTCCGACAAACCGTTTTTGTTAATCGATCGAAATTATCGCGAATTATTTTTATTTTATTTTTTTTTTTGTGAACAGTCTCGGTTCGAAACACATTGTATTTACCGCATGCGTTTTTCATTCCATCGAAGTGAAACGAACGGAGGACCCGAAACGCGCAGATAAGGGAAATGGGCTCGTGGATGGTTTCGAAATGCGCGATATGATATTATTATTGTATTACCATTGGCCGATGGGTACGTGTTTCGCGTAACTTTTACCATCCCGTTTTCATGTACCGTCCGAAAATAAAGGTCGTCATAGTACTCCGTACCTGTACGTTTTCGCCGAAGTTTTCGTATTATTTGCACGCGTGTTTATGGTGTACTTGTTTTTTTTTTTCTCGTAAAACGCTTTTTCGATTTAGTAAAATGTTTCCGATTGTTTACACCGTATGCGTATCATACAAAAAAAAAAAAAACCCCGCCGATTTTCTGTCCGGTAGTAAATTATTCGACACAAAGGGGTACAGATTCCCAACAATTTTTCTATGCGATTCGAAAAACTAACAACAAAAAATGATCGATGCCGATCACATTGGTGGGACTTTTCCAAACTCCTCGACAGCGGCCTGCCCACGATGTATATCCGAATTTTTCTGTTTCCGCATTACGACCAAACGGGCACGCCGGCATTCGGCTTATCTGGCTACACGCGATCCGAGTAAATTGTCCCGACGATACTTTGGATTTTCAATACGATGTGATATTGATATTGGATAGTTGTTTGCTGTTACAAGATATTTAGATATCTATCGTGTACAGTTTCCGACGGTCGGTTTTCAAACCTAACCTCCTTAGGACTGCTTCACGCATCATTGGCCATCTGACCTTTTCACACGGTTATAATATTGTACATATTATATATTATTATTTATCATACGGCGAGTACACACGAACTTCATAGACCCAAAACTTTACGCGATCCCTTTACCCTGTGATCACGGATGATATATCTAATACACGTATGGTACGCATAACATATTATCATACATAATATGATGTGTTTCTGTAATTTAACGGGCATAATATAAATATTTGACTTTCGAGTTTATACAATATTGGCGATACATTCCGAACCATCATAATATATGCGATACACGATGTACCGTTTGAACGGATATTTTCCTGCGTAAAATCCGTATTTTTTTTTTTCCCCCCCGACGAAATTTTCAAAGAAATTAGATATTATGTTATTTTTTATGACATCTAATTTCTTATTATTTCTATGATAATGTTATGCTGTGTTACATAAACGATCGTTACGATTTAACTGGCGATTAACGTTTTTAACGCCTCGCTAAAATCATTGAGTTGCGTTTTGTGAATTTTAGTATTAACAGTTAATGATCTGATTTCGGCTCTTTAAATTCTAACGATTAAAATTCAGTGATAAGTTATCGCTTATCAATAATTTACCTATATTCATATTGTGGTATATATATATATATATATATTAACAATATTATTTGTCTATCTCGATGCCTATAATAACATTACAATTTTTAATATAATATTGTATTAATACTGACAGACCGACCGGTTTGTTAAATTTATTTAATTAATCATTAGTATTATTTTTTAGCATTATTTATGGCAGTTTGTGATTCATCAACCAGTGATAGTGTTAATGAATTTATACTAGAAGTTGTTGTACGTTTACCAACACCAAGAATGTTTCAGAATAGTTTCTGTTAAAATCATATTTTAAATGTGATTGTAGATGATTTTTATGTTTATACTCCTTGAATAATTTATGCAATTTTTGTGCAACTAATCAGTGATTTACCGAACCATTAAATATTTAATGAGACATTAGTTAATTATTACTTAAATATTTATGAAATGATTTTTATACGACCTGGTATTAAAATTTTAATTTGTTTTTCGAACATTTAACATTTGATTATAAAAATAATTACTGATTAAACGCACTTTTGGATTAACATTTTCGGACCCTTCCAATGAAATGAGTAGATACACTTTTGTCAAAACTGTTTCTTTTAATTTTATTGTATTTTAATTTTTAGCTGTACATTTTTTTTAAAAAAAAAAACCTATAATTTTATTGTATTATTTTTATTATGAAATGTTGAAATATTTAAATATAAAGATGTGATTTTTTTTTTTTTAAATCTTATAATTTAACCGTATTATTTGACTTATTACTTACGACTTATAACTTGATTGTACATAATTAGGTAGGTACATGGTTCCCAAACTATATTTGGCGGAAATGTCCTTTCATTAAAATACATTTTGCGGGAACGGTAATCGTTCCTTTTTCGTTTTCGGCGGAAAAGGGCCATACCCAAAAATACTTTTACTTTCTTCTCGACGTCTCGAAGCTGATTTGGCCTTATCGCCTTCTTTTTAAATGGCTCAGTGGATGTAACCGACCTACGAGCCGTGATTTCTTTTCGTATCCCATCTTATGGTACTAGAAACTTTACGTTACCACTTATTCTACGTCCTATGGCCATAATCACCCCTTCACAGAACGTTGTGTAACACAAATAGCTCCAACATAGATACTGCTCTAGTTTGATTTTAAGGCTTCACTTATAAATTGCCACTACCTTAAATCTATATATTTGTCTTAGTTGTATCTCTATATTTTTCTCAGATTCTTTTTCTGTTATTTTCACGGTTCCTTATGTATATTTCCGTCAGGCATTAATTACTAAAATAAATAAATAAACAATTCCCAGATCAGTCAGAATAACTTTCACAAATTACATGTTGAATCGCCAATTCTAAAACATATTAATATATTCGATCTAATTGAACCGACTGTATTATGGACCGGACAAATATTTGAAATCCCATAAGGATAATTTTATAGTTTTTTTTTTTTTTTCCGTAATTTATCTATATATTTATTAAGAATACACAGCGTTATAATGTTGTGAAATTTGTTTGCTCGGTTTTAACCGAGATAAATACAAAACAAAATACATACCTATTGCTGTTTGTTTAAATGTTCAAAAATTATAGGTACGTGTTCAATATTAATATGCCAACGTGTAATGTAATCGCATATGTTTCAAAATATCCTTTTTGTGGATACTTTAAAATAATATTGCATGTGTTGAACATATAAAACGCATACAATGCGAATCCAACGGTTTCGAATAATTTCGAACTTGGGTTTTAATACATTTAAACAACTCCGATAATTATTGATAAATTAACGTATAATATTTCTTTGTATATAATATAATTATAGTAATAAAATGGACACAATGTTTCTGACGAATGTCAATTATATGCGTAATTTAGATGTTTAAAAATATATCTTAATATTATAAGGATTTTTATATTACAGATTATCGGATGGACATAATTTTTCATTTGAACAGCTGAAAATAGGTGATCTCGAAATTATTATTATGAATAATAACTAGAGAAAAATTGTAATTCCTGTCAGATGGTTTTTCTACACAGATGCAAACGAGTTTTAAAAAATAAAACAAAGCAAACAAATGTAAAATCTCGGTTATAGTAGCTATAAGCAATGCCTGATATTAACCAATAAAAAACACAAAAAAAAAAAAACGTAGGTATACGAATCAAGACAACTGTGTAAATAAACATTGTAGTACTTATTTGGTTTGTGTGACCCAAACCGTTCGTGTAAGAACAAAATACCGGCTTTACAGACACATCATACCGAAACCTCACGAGATCCATCATAAATAATAATTTTTTTTTAAAAAAAATAAAATAAAATCTTTTGATTTCCGTTGAAAAAACGTTGACGTTAAAAATGTTTTTTATGTATATGTTAATATCCGTCATGGCGGTTTCGACTGTTTTCTTTCGTGTAACCAATACACAACCAATTGAAGTAACGTTTGGAGATATAGAAAGTCAATCGGAATCGGAAGCATCGTTGTCAGTTATGGAACATAACGATCGAGAATCGAATCTAAGGTACGTAATGGCGATAGAAAACTCGAGCTTTTGGACCGAGATAAAGAAACGATCATTGACGATTAGTTCTGAACTGCTTACTAGCAGCATAATCAATAAATCGCCCGAAAATCTTTCGGACGAGGAATTGACGCAACTTAAGCAGGTGTGCCAAGATGGACTAAAATGTGTGGCGGTTGACCATCTTTTGATACTCACACAAGTGATGCAGCCGACAGACGACGGCAAGACGTCGGTACGAACGGCCATTACCAAAATCACCAAGGTGCTCACCCAGTACACGAACGAGTACCATGAGAATACGAATCAATACGAAGAGGTCACAGACAAAGACGACACAGCCAAAGTATACAGTTCTGTGACGACAATAGTGGAAGACAACGAGGAGTTGTGTCAGATCGACTCGAATACTTACACAAGATCCAATGTCAATTCCTATGCGACTTCAAAAACTAATGCTTACTTGAGTTCTTATGAAAATGCTAATGAAAATTCTAACAAGAGTTCGGTCGATAATCCGGACAAAACTTCTGATGGTAGTCCTAGTGAAAGTTCTGGCAGTAGTTTAAACGGAAATTCTGACGAGGACACCGAAAAAGAAGGCCCCCTTACGATTGTTAATAACGGTAATATTAACTTCGGTAATATTAACACTTTCAACGTCAACGAAGGTACCATGAATAGTGCGACTGTTAATCTCGATTTGCCTAAAAATCCAGATGACAGTAATATGATGCCGACTAAAATTGAAATCCACGTCGACTCGGAACCCAGTACACCTGAACTTGATAACACGAGTACTTCCCAAAACGACGACCAGAACACAAATACTTCACAAGACAAAGGTGCATTGGACGACGGTAAAGAATCCTTGAACTATCTTAATATCTATGAATATGGTAGTAAAGAGACTTCGAATACCGCAACTCCAGACAGGGATACCAAGACAGTGAATAATCCGAACCAAGGTAATAGTAGTCCCAAAACCGTTGTGCCTGCAGATAGCAGTTTAGCTCAAATCAAATCTAACGGGAAAACGAAGGCGGAAAAACCTACCGACACTAACGGCGGTGCGATCCACCCGAACGTAACCAGCAACAATTTTAACGGTAATTCGTCGTCGAATATCGATAAGAGTGAAGCTTCCAAAAACATCACCGACGGATCTGCCGGCACAACTGGTTCAAAAAACAACGTCTTAAACGCCGAGAAATCCAACGAGAATTTCGTTAGCTTAAATAATGGCAAAAATGCTACTCAAGGTCAAAACAGACAGCGAGCTGGTATCGTTAGTGCGGGTCACAACAACACCGACAAAGTAAACAAAGGCTACGTCGAAGATGGCATTATCAACAACGGGATGATAAAATTGACAGAAAAAAATAAGGGTACCAAAAACAAAGGCGTCATCAATAACGGCAAAGTTAAAAACGGTATTATTAACGTGGGCAATGTCAATAACGGCAAGACTAACTACGGTACCATCAACGAACGCATCAATAACGGGGATATAAAAAGAGTAAACAATTACGATGTCCAACAATTTGTAAACCAAATTAACAACATGTACTCTTCCATATTAAAAGATTTAGCTCAAAAATAAATCAATTTTGTTTGTTATGACTTACATAAAACATTTATCTGGTTGTTATTGAAAAGAAATAATATATTTATATTGCGTAAAACTTTAAAGCAAATACTAAGTAGTAATCATTTATTTTAATAATTGTATTGATTGTTCGGTTTAGATTTGGCTAATATTCACGCTTGATTATGATTTATATTAATAAATTGTTTTAAATTAAATAATTGTTTCGCTGTATTATGGTATATTGGTTTTCCGTAATATTAAATCTAAATGTTGGTCTTGAATCTAACCACGTCGCTGTAAACCATAGGTAGTATTTGAAATATGAAAAAAAAAAACCGATCTTTCTAAGTAAAAATTATCTATACAGAAAAATTGTATGACATTTTTTGCGAGTATTAAATTTATTTTATACCATAGATTACGCGATTCACATACAAATTGACTTCAGAGATATTTTGATATTACAGGAACATTATTATTGTCAAAATATATATATATATGTATAAGTATATTGTTACTGCTGAATAATTATATTTATTCGATTTTTTTTTTTCATTTCCGTAATCTTCACTTTTACTTATTTTAAAACAAATAAAAAAATCGGAGTATTCGACATATGATTTTATTAATTTAAAACATTGGACGAAATCTTTGAAAAATATCTACTGCTATAATGTAAACAATAAACAATGTGAATCGCATGTTCTAAAAGCAACCCAGTAGTCTATAAAATGTATTATAATATTCCACTAGTGACTAGTCAGTTCCTCCATCAGTCGAATTCTCGTGTTATATAATACAATTCGTCTAAAAAATTTACGAAAAAAACTGCAAAAATAAAATAATACAAGTATAAAATATGTAGAAATTCATTATTAACTCGTAAAAACCAATGTGTTCGCATACAAAAGTGATACACCGTCGTATTTGTAATCAAAATCGTTGCTAAAAGACAAAAAACAAAAACGGTAAAATACATAATTACAGTTTATTCGACTCAAAATTATCATGGTAATGAGTATAAACAGGAAAATAGTTTACATAGACATGCTATAGAACGATTGTTCAATAATGGTTGTTTTCTTCTTCCACGATAACAGAAAGAACAATGTTTCAATTGAATTTTTTCAGGGAAAAAATTATACGTCAACAAAGATATCGGAAACATTGTAATTTTTTATTTCTATAATTTGTAATTTGATAAAAAAGTAGAACGATTTAAGAGTGACTAACGGCGCTCATTGATTTCCAAACTTAAGGTTAAATTGATTGTATACAGAAATGTCAAAATTCGGAAATGCTATTGTATTATCAAACACCGACACGGTGTGACGGAGATCCGAATGTACTTTCAACGAAACAGACGAATTGAATCAAGTCGGTTTTTTTTTATATGTCATTTGTGTATTTTCCAATAAATCATAATGCGTTTAATGAATATTCTTATGTCTTTCAAAATGCGGTCGTCGTCAACGAACGAGATGAACAATCTCGTGTTACGTTTAATAATTACATGTGGTGAAAAATTAGAATAATAATATATACGACATTTTATAATTGTGTATACTTTTTGTTATAACCTAAAAAAATGTATGCATTTGTTTGTTTTTGTTTTTAATAAAACATTTAGTAACGGGGATGTCATAGGATTTCCAGTTCGATGGGTTTGACCGCTTTTGAGAAGTCAATATCCCTACGATGTTATCTCTTTTCAACGTAAGTAAGGAATTTTACGATAATCTGACCCAGTACCTATTCAGTATATAGACTGTGATGAAAAGAGGTTATAAGAGATCGACATACGAGGTCATCGTCAAACGAGAAATATGACGTAAATATTTATTATTTACGCACGCGTATATTGAGATAAATGACGTATGATATTATTCTTTCTTCCACGATACACGTTATTCAAAAGTTGTAAATTATTATAAATATTTACGAGTATATTATACATGACTTATAAAAAACAAATGTATAAATATGTTTGCAAAATTTTCGGACGCAACTGTGCAAACTTACAGTAGATACTTACGTGTTCGCGTGTAGGTGGCCTAGATAAAACCGTTAACAAAAAGAACTTAAGTAGAATATATTGCTTTAATACGTTCCCTATTTTCCAAGAAGTAGGGACTGCAATACAATCGCACTCTTCTCTAATCGTTCGTATTTAAATTATATTGTAGTTTAAAAATGGTTTTCACACATCTATTGGTATCCGCGATAACGGTTTCGATGGTTCTCGTCCGCATAGCCAATACGGTACCGGCGGATTTAACATTCGAATACGAAAACATTGATTCGGGATCAAAGAATTCGACGACTGTTATAGCGAAAGACGATAATCCGTTGGACGATAACGACCGAGACTCGAATTTAAAGTACGTGATGGCGATAAAGAACTCGAGCATGTGGACGGAGATAAAAAGACGATCGTTGACGATAAGTACTGATCCATATTCTAAGAGCCTGTTCGACAAGTCGACCGAGAATCTTTCGGACCAGGAACTTTTACAACTGAAGCAAGTGTGCCAAGATGGACTAAAATGCGTGGCGGTTGACCAACTAATGGTTCTCAGACAAGTAAAGCAGACTGATGGCGGTAAGACAGTGGTACATAAGGCTATAAATAAGATCACCAAGGTGCTTACTGATTACACGAATGAATACCACGAGGAGAAGTATCAATACGAAGCTGTCACAGATGCAGACGACACGGATAAAATGTACGATTCTGTGATGACAATAATGGAAGATAACAGGGAGCTGTGTCAGATCGATCCTAATACTTACACAAGTACTAGTACAAGCTCGTATGATACTACAAGTTCGAGTATCAACATTAGTTCTGCTGAAAGTTCTAACAATAGTTCTGATAGTAGTTCAAACAACATTTTTGACGGTAATTTCAATGGAATTTCGAACACTAATTCTGACAGCAGTTCTAACCATAGTTCTGACCGTAGTTTAACTGAAAATTCTGACAGCGCCTTACTAACGATTTTTAATAACGGAAATGTTAATTTTGGCACAGTCAACCAGTACAATGTCAATGAGGGTACTATGAATAGTGCAATGGTCGGTATCGAACCTTCAAATAGTACCTCTAGCGATGATTCGTCCAAATTGTCAGAAGAACCTAATCCACCACCTACTATTAGGAATGAATCACCTGCTATTAATGATCCACCAACTTCTACTATTGATCCACCACCTACTCTTGAATCCAATACCGAACGACCAGTAGAAAAACGCACAGCCAGAATAGAATATTTAATACCATTCAACGGTGAACAAAAACAAAACGTATCTAACGATAAAATCCCTGAATCCGATTCTCTTCCCGAAAAAACAGTTTCTTCTGTCCAAACGGCTGCTTCCGCCGACACGGGTCCGTCCACTTATTGCAGTACCTGCGCAAACGCCGGCACCTCTACCTCCACCGACAATTCGACATCCGACGCCGGTGTCCCCGCCAAAACCGATGAATCGTCCGCCGACACGGTTAACAACTTCATAAATATGGACAACGGTGAAAACAGTGCTTTTAGCAAGAATGACTCTATGGTCGATATAACCAGCACGGGTTCCAATAACAAAAGCACCGTGAACAAAGGCTACGTCGAGGATGGCAATTTTAACAACGGCATGATGAAAATTTTTAACATGAATACCGGTACTATAAACAAAGGCGTCATCAGCAACAGCGTCGTGGAAGACGGAATCATTAATGTCGGTACGGTCAACAACGGACCGGCCAACTATGGTCAGGTCAATAGTTCTTCAAACAACGGCACTGAATCGCAGGTGAACAATAACGATGTCCAAAAGTTTGCCAGTGCTATTGAAAAAATATACTCGGACATGTACGATCGTCTCTCCAAACAATGATAAGTAATCTATAATATTTATTTTCAGTTTTCCATGCGTAACTTATCACTTAGTTTGTACATTATAAAGTATTTAGCGAAACAATAATTTTATTTTACTCGTTAAATAATAATATTATATCCGTGTTGCTTGATGAACCTAATCTAACTTGGCGGTTTTTATACACGTTTAGTTGTTTAGTGACATTGCCATTATTTTATTAATATAACATAACATTGTATTATATTACAACGATAATTGGTGTTCAAAAATAAAATATGTTATTTACTTTGGTTTCCTTAAAACGTGTAAACCAATTCAATCTACCTGCTATTCATAAAAAATGATGGAGTACTCAATAATATTTACGATACCGAAAAATGTTTGGTTTTTAAGGTATTATTAAAGGCGTATATTAGTAAACAAGCTATTAATCACCTAAAACTGTTACTTGTTGGCCGGTTCGTTTTAAATGTCCAAGGTAAGGTTTTGTAAAATGTAAAAAACATTTTTTTATCACAAATTGGTACCTACTGAAATTAATTGTGTACTATAAAATATCACCAATTATCATCGGCTTCCGATCGGAGGAACGTATGAACCGAAAACCGATTATTTTAATATTAATCAATTATTTTTGTTTATTATTATCAACTGATTTAGTAAAACTGTATGAATATAAAAAGAAATTCATTGTTTTAAACTAAAACTACTTCTAAGTAATAAAATGTGGCACTCTATAAAAGTTACGTTATTCTGTTTCTAGACTTTATCTGTGTTGGATTTCCGTATCCTTTCGAATAATTATCATATTTTTAGTTTTGTTATCAGTATGCCATTTTACATTGTAAATCAATGAGACCGATTGTCCAATTTTAATTTTTTTTTTACCAATCCTTGGAAAGATACTTGATTAGTTTTTTGCTGCCTTTAGGCTGATTTTTTCGACGTTTTCCCCAGAACATGTTCCCTCACACAAAAACAAATTATAAAATATTAAAATAATTTTATTTTAATTTACACATATGTATACATTATTCAATACTATATTTACCGGTTATAATTAAATAAATAAATAAAAAAAAAAAATAGTTCAAAACAAATGCCAGTTTTCCCAAAAGCACAACCCCGAGACCCAGCCAATTTAATCTGACTTTGAAGTCACCATTGCCCTTATCATCGTACAAACGCTATAATTATTGTGGTTAATATCAAATTATATACAAATCAGAATTTTGATGGGGTTTTTTTTGTCCAAAAGTAATGAGTTATATTTCTATTGGTGTCCGTTCTTCCGAAACGAATTCTCATCTAGTACAACTCTTTTAACAATAATATTTACTCATATATTTGAATAATTAAATGCAGCTAAATGGAAACAAACTTTAATGCAAGTTGTTTTTGAGAACGAGTGCTGAATTTAAGTCACTATTCAAGTCTAAAAACACATTTTCGAATAACTAATTAATAATAATAACTGAGGTTTTAATCATTGTAAACATAATTGTACCTGTGTCGTAATAAATCATAAATATAATATGATAAAAAGTACGATACTTTTCATAGGAAAAAATCTTTTAAAAATAGTCGTAAATATGTTATACATTTTCTTATAATTATTATTAAATAAATACAGGTATAATGCTTTTATATGTATTAAATATTTTTTATACAAAAATATTGCGTTTGTTAGTTTTCGTTATTATTGTTTTTTCAAGACTATTACCCAAATGGAATATTATTAAAACCGACATCCATCTCTAAAGAAAATATTCTTGACCGTAAAAAAATAAAAAAAGACTTCGCACGTGGGTGTTACCACTGTTGTAGGTGGGAAGTTGGGAAGGTAGGATACAGAAGGAAATTTAATGTACGCATATCTGTAAGCAACAACAAACCATAGCTAACGAAAAACGAGTCTCAACGGAGTTCAGTTGATAGTGATGCATTGTCAATATAACTTTTTTTTTTTTTTACTAAGTTTGGTATGATTTTATTAACAAATGTATGGCTGTTATTGTAAACATCTCTTCCTTCGTAAAAATGAGTATTCAAAGACATTGGAGGTATGCTGAATTTGAAATCTTTTTATTTTGATTTATTATTATTATAATTTAAGAATGAAAACTAATTAATAGGTACTGTTAGATATAAGTATTGTGGTGAATAAATGCAATTATAATGATATCTTCACAATTCAATATTGTGAATGAATGTTTCTGTTTAGCAGTGAAATTTAATAAATTACTATTAGTTTTCTCATCGATTATCATAATCATGGGTAAACATTTTAAATTGTATTTATCATACCAGGCGATTCATTTAATCCTTTCACTGTCAGAAGTTTTTCACTCTGTCAAATGTTATTGTCACACAAATTTTATATTTTTTTTTCTCTTACTTTTAATATCTCGAGAGGAGTATCAAATATACAAAGTTCAAAACATTCTAAAATCATTTTTGCCTTTGTTATTTAAATTTTAAAAAATGTACACCATGGTTTTCCAAAATACAGTATTTATTTTGAAACACTATAGATCAAATAATATTTATTATTTTATATCATAGACTTTTATGAAAACAAAATAATAATAACCATAAAACATTTTTATACTAGGTAAAAAAACCTTAAAAAAAAAAGTTTAATAATAGTTCAAAAATATTTTTTCTTGGTGTGGTAAATTTCAAAACATAAAATCAGACACAATCCTAAATCACACTTTATACACATGTATTTTGTGTTTTTTCTTTTGCTGTTTTTGTTTTGGCACACTTAGCACTTATTTGTGGTTTGGTCTTCTTTGATGTGGGTGGTACAATAGAAGAAAAATGTCGTCTTTGTAACCGGTTTTCTAAACATGGATCAGAACAGTGACATACCTTTATTTTTGGTGTGGCACACTCATTAAATATTTCACATATCAACTGGAACTGGAAATCTGCAAGGCTGATTTATATTACAGTACAAGTTTTATACACAGAGTATGCATTCAGAAGTAAAAGATCAATCATGTGAAAGAATAATTTCTTATACTACTTGATTTCACAGAACTCAAAAGAAGCATGTCTGTTTTGTCGATTGGCCCTATGTTTTCATTATAATACATTACTGCTTCTGGCTTTATAACTTCATTACTATAGTGATTATTTTTTTTAACCAATTTGTCTTCAAACTGAGTGGTGAGCATAAATACATCTCTACGGTCTCCATTTGACTGCTAACATAATTTTAGTACGCCTGCTTTCTGTTTGTTTAACTTTTAATTTGCCTGACAATGCTGACATCTCCTTTCAATTTTTTCTTACTGTTCCTGTTAAATTAGTATTTTTCTTGTGAAGATATTTTGCTAAGATGGTGACGAATATCAATTGTCGATGAAAAATCTATGGCACTTATTTAAATATGGTTTAATTAGCATGTTCACAAGAGCACCAATGCTGGAATTTTTTTTATAGTCTGTTGTACTCACAGTATAAACTATGATGTCGAGAACAAGGTATGTTTGACATAACACAAAATAAATATTTTAATGCCAAAACAGTGCCTTTTGGTTTTGATAAATTGTTTGAGTGATAATTGTCTTTCCCAAAGGACTAGACTTTCATCAATAGCTAAATTTTCATAAGGAATCATTGTTTCTTTGAAATTTTTAGTTATTTCTTGTAAAGACATATACACATTTGCAAGTCTGTTCCGGGTACTTGATCTTCATTCTAATAAAAATGAAATATTCTCAATTTTATCTATTATGACTCATATATTTCCCAAATATTGGTTGATATGGTAAAGGGTCCATGGACCAGTAATCTGCTTTTTCTAATTCCTTATTCTTGGCCATAAGCACTGTTATTGCTAAGAACACAAATATTTCTTTACAATCCGTACCCACCCGTTAAGTGACTCTAATAAAATAAAATATTTGTTATAATAACTTCAATAACATGTCAGTTAATACAGAATATGTTTCATAAATTCTTTCCGAGATATATTTTGCAAAAATATAATAATATATAAAATTATAATATAGTTACAGTCAGATAATTATAATACATTACATAATTATAATACATTACATAATTATATATCCATATTATATTTGTATATTAAGTCTAAAACATATTCAGTGGACAGTGATGTCCCATAACAAAGAAACTTTTTTTAAAACTATTTACTTAGAATCAGATGTTATGTTGTCAAATTGTTGGCAGTAGCAATTTGTCTCAAGAGCAACAACTCTTGAAAAACTTGATGTAATAAATACCACAAAAAAATCTAAAACATTTGACTGTTCCGATAGTTTAAACTCTGCTTTTTTTACACCACTAGAAAAAAAAAGTAATACAAAACTTTATACATAAATTTATAATATAAATATGTTGGGTAGGTACCTTAGAAGCATCAAAATCATACTTTTGGTGCAGTTTCCACTTTATTCCATTTCAGATTTTGTATGCACAATTAATTGTTTTTTGTTCCATTAGACACAGTAGGTATAATATGAGGACTATCATCCAGACTATTGGGTTGTAAATCTAATGTAAAAAATTGTTAAGTTAATATTAATTTTTTTGCTTGTTGTGTAGAAAACAGTTGCTTATTTAGATAATAAATAAATAAATAATACCTAGTACATTATGTTAAAAGCTTTGTTAAGTTAAAACTTTTTAAGAGAATTGAATATTGATATTTTTTTTTTTTTTTATCAAACACATATGTGTACTCAGTATAGCAATTTAAACGAATTGTTCAGCATTTAGTTCCATACTAATTCAGTGATAAGTATTCAATCTCCTCTAAATGAATAATTTTGTTGAATCACATTGTTTTTTTTTGTCATATATCCATTCTATTTTACCTTTATTGTTTAAATGTGCCTGAATTATTGCCAAATTAATTTGAATGTATGTGTACCTATGTATTTATATTAAAATCATAAATGAAGTAAATTATCATTATCATCACAATTTATATTACTTTAAAAGGCATTTGGTTATAATAGAACTTTACTAGTTAGTATTGCCTCATCGGAATGTAGCATTTCAACACTGCACAGGTTATATTTGCTGCTTGATCATAAATTAGCACCTAATTAGTTTTTATAAATTAATCCAAAATGTAGTCAAAAATAGATATTTTTATTATTATTATTTGTAGTTATTGATATTTTGATAACAAAGGTTTTTTTTACTGAAGTCAGACTAAGTCTATCCGGCTTAGTTTTAGAGTTACAAATGTTCAAACTAAGCCAGATAGACTTATTTTGATTTCAATAAAAAAATCTTTTATTTACACCGAATTTTCGATTAATTCCAAAAATGCTATTTTTTTAAGATTTATGTACAAAAACTATAAAATTACGTATGATAGGTAGGTTTTGATTACACTAATAGATTAAGTATTAAAAAACACACATTTTGGAAAAAAAAACATTTCAAAATGTTAAACTCTAATTAAGAAATACGCGAAACGGAAAACTTGAACTTTATGAAGTTTCCTTTCCATAACTTCTAAATTTCGTCACTTTCATTTTACATTTTTAATGTGCCTACACTCAAAATCGCACAATTTGAAAACCTGAAAAATCGCGTGAGAGCTAAACTAGAATTATGTAGATTTTAATAACCATTACAGACGGAGGGTATCTATTGCCCAGAGCATTTCAATTTTTAAAAGAAGATAAACAAATTGTACAGGGATAAATTAGGCCTCCACGCTACTTTATAAGGGTAAATTATTGAAACGATTAAATTTTTATAAGAATGTACCAATTAATTTACTCACAGTCGTTGAATTGTAAGTTTGAGTCATAAGACATCGTTTTCATTGGTCCAAATGCTGGAGATCAATCCAAAATACATTTATGCCATTAAATGTTATGTATAACCTGTCTAACTATCTCTTAGGCGTGGTTCCTAGATTTAAAATGAATATCGGTCACCCACATTATTTATAAACTTTAATATAAAAATTGACATGGTTAATGAAATTAAATGAAAATGTTAGGAGAAAAGAAATATTTTCTGCAGTTTACTCACAATTCAACATTCAGGAAGTAATATGAACATAGTTCCCTGTCTAGTCGGAGTACCTTTGCCACGTATAAGTACTACTGTACAGTATTGTACACGTATTACATTGCGCGGCCTAAAAGTCTTGTACGTTTGACACGACTGTTCGAAGAACCGACCCACGTAAACACCGTTACATAAACTTTATGTCTATCTCGGTTGACCGTAGTGTTTACGTACCTACATCTACCGTGTAAACTATTATCATATTGTTAGTACATTATCGATTATCTTCGATTATTTATGATAAGCTATGAGGCGGGCTGAGCTTTGCGCACTATCATCGGTGTCGTATCGGACACGTGAGCGTTATCGTACCGCCCGTGACGAAACAAATTTGTTTCGTCGTGGTACCACCGTAGCACGTTGGAAAGCCACCGACACTATGATCAGCATAATCGTTATCGAATTCAACTAACTACATGCTCGAGTACTTGTAAGTACCTAAATGTATATTATATTTCGTAGCATTACATCAAGTACTGAAGTAACTAGTTATTTGTTCGGTGGTGCGGTGGCTTCATTCCAACTATTTTTGGATCGGCCACCTTCGTTCTAAACTTCCACTTGACCCGATTTCCAACTCACGCACATCGGTCGTCCTCATACCCGTACAATTCTCAATCGCGTCCAACCACCTATTTTTCGGCATTCCTCCCGTGGCTATTTCCATTACGATTCTTACTGTTTCCGGATTCTTTTGTCCCCGTGACGCGCCCAAACCACCGTTAGCTGTCTTGTTTTGTTCCTCCAAACTCATACTCTGTTTTACTTCTGCTCATCTTTAGTCCCTTTTCTTCAAATACTACCGTCCGGTCTCCGTTCGTCAAACCTAATGTTAACTTAATTCAAATTGTCTCCTATCAAAGCTATGCAATCGTGCACCACGGCACCCCGTTTCTTCCGTCGTCCCCATCCACATCCGAGACGGGACACGTCTCGTTCAGACCTCCTCGTATTGTCTGGCAGGATTGTGCACCGACAACTGACGCAGCGTCGTTTTTTACTTCTTACTACAATCAGAAGTGGGTACCTGCCGTACGAGTATTCTGATGCCCTTCCACAGGAAGAAGAACGGCAGTGGTTTTTCGACATTATGAATTCGGTCGGCGGCACTGTATGGCGGCTTTTAGTCGGATGGCATTCGGACGCGCTTGGAGGCCGTCGCTTCGTGTTCGTGCGACACCGGGTCCCATGACACGGTTCAAAACTTTGCGATCGTCCCGCGTTGTAGTTCTCCGATCGATCGTTGGCGGCACGCCAATCGATAGCGTCCAGCTGTTCTACGGCCCGACAACGAACGACGCCGCGCCGACCGCGTCCGAAGTACCGGTCGCCGGTCGGCTGACGGACGCGCCGTCTCGTCCTTTGTTCTTTCTTTCTTTTGCCCGTGACGCCGGCGAGCCGACGTCTTCCGCTCGTTTTGTCGCACGTCGTTTTCCCGTCGGCTGCGGAACAGAACACTGCCGTATCATTACGTCGCGCGCGTCGATCGCGCAGTTTCACTCGGCGTCGCCGCTGACCGTTAACAATCGTAACGGTAACGCCGTTATCGTCGTATAAAACGACGTTCGCGTAATTGTCTGTGTCTCGTCTACGAGCGAGTACCAGCCCCCGTCGCCAGTATCCGAACCAACGAGTTCCGCGTCGCTGGCGAGCGGTTGCCCCGTGTACATATTGTTATTATTGTTATTATATATTACGCGATGGCGCGTTTTGATAAATCGTAACGTCTGCGATGGCGGTCGCCTTTTAACGTTACTGCGCAGATCGCGGCGGCGGCGGCGGCGACGGTCGTCGTGTAGAACGTCGATGGACGGCGACGATCGCGCGCAGGCGCCGGTGTTTAGCAGTCGTTTTTCCCCACTCCCGACCGCCGAACCGTTCACGGCGCGGTTCTTGCGATTAATTACACCGAGCGGGTAATACCCGATTGATGCCGCGGTTCCATGTTGCGTTCTGCGCAACCGCGTTTTCACGGTTAAACGGCGGCGGTTTTGCACTCCGTCCGCGCGCAACTCGCGACGCGCCGTCGTCCGAGCGCGCACTCGCGACGCGCCGTCGTTATGTTATTTACCGGACACGCGTGCCGTCGTCCTCTGCGCGACTGCCGTTCGATGCCGCCCGATCTCGTTTCCGTCCGCGTGATCGGGTCGGATACAGTTTGGGCGTATCCGAGTTGTAGCCGGACGACCGACCTGACGACCGCGGAACGCCGCGCGTCTCGGGCACGGTCCGATCGAGCCCGGAGCCCAGGAGCCCCCGGTCCCGGCAGGTGGATTCTCTAAAAAGTTTTGGTCACAAACTCGGTCGTTAGCGCGAGCGTGACGCTTAGTTCAGTCATAGGAGATTTTTGCGGTTCACTAACTATCGCGGAATGAAAACATTTTAACACCGTCATTTTAGAATGGCCGAACGCAGTCTTTTGATTTGCCGTTACTGACAAAGCCGTATTTTGTGTACATTGTGTACGACCAGTGGCGGGTCTTGTTACGGTGCACCGCCCGACTATTTCAGAGACGAGAACAAAAAAGACTGACAAAACCTCGCGCAATGGGTGCAGTCACTGTTGTCGGTGAGATGTTGGAAAGGTAGGATATAGAGGGTAAACTCGTTTGTATCTGTGAGCAACGATAAACCATTGCTTACTAAAAACGATTCTGAGCGGAGTTCGGTTGACAGTGAAATCCTCGGGTCATTTATTTCCGAAAACGGTTCGATCGCAGACGCGCTCCGTCAAAGCGCTACCTATCTGCCCGAAATTATTACACGGGTGTTATTTCAGTATTTTGTTGGGGCGTGTGAGGTATCAAGCTGGCCATTATAAATATTTCACCAGGCCGCATAAAAATATACATATATAGGTATTAGGAGATACCTATGTACCATATATCATCCTGCTTTTAATTATTTCAATAGATTATGAATCGCAATAAATATGGTAAAATGCACACAATATGTGTAAATTGCTATGTGTAACTTTTGTACAAGTAAACACTAAAAAAAAAAAAAAAAACAAATTAATTATATTTGTGTAAGAGGATCAAGTATATGTACTGGCGATTTTTAAGTCTAGCAAATACATCGAAAGTTTTTTTTAAATCGATATTATTCACTTTTTTTTCACCTTTTTTAACCATATATTTTTAGCCGTCCATGAAAATGCGTGTAAGTATGATTTTACGTTTTAAAAACAATGGAGAACCCTTTCATTTGATGTCATTGTAACGGCTAAAGTCCAACGTTTCCTTAATAACAACCGTTGAGGGTTGTTTAACCGAAAAGTTATCAAACTTTTGACGGTGATTAAGTTCCTTATCACTGTTTGTATTCTGTAGGTGTCAGGCGTATGTCTGGTAGATTGAAATTTTTCAAAAACAATATCCATAAAAAAAACCGAATATTTGTTTCATTAGGTCAGCGGTTCCCAAACTTTCTCAGCCTCGGAGCCTTTTTTATAAAAAAAGTTTCTCGTGGAGCCCCCATGAAATATTTAACGTTAATTTTTATCTGCCTGTGTTCTATCTTCTATGAAGTATAATAAACACGAATTGTATATATATACAAGAGTCAAAATAAAATTATATTTTTGAATACANAAAGAACTGCAAAAAATATTATTTATTATTTAAATTTAAATTTACAAAATGTCTTAATGTGAGCATTTGGTGGCCTGCTTTTTACTACCGAGTTTGTCGATGTCCGGTGTCACAGAAGTCAATTGAAGACGCATATCGTTTTCTGCATCCAAACGTGCTCGGTATTTTGTTTTTGTAGCTGCGTACCACGAAAATGCCGTTTCACAAAGATACGTAGTACCAAAAGGCAGTAAAAGCAGTTTAGCTTTTGAACTTGATATTGAATGATCTTCCCCTGATCGAGCCCATAGTTCGGATATTGGTTTGCTTTTAAATAATGTCTGATAGCGGGCGGCTATCCGAAACCATATCAATAAGAACCTCAGGTTGCTAACACACTTTGTTACATATCACACACTGAGGACGTCCATCAGCAAATTCAGTGAATCCCATATCGAAATACGACTCGCGATATTTTCGTATTCGGCTTCCTTTCCGAATATCTACATCAGGTATCGTAGATTCTAAAGTAGAACTACGCACAACATGTTCCGTACGTAATACTGAGGAATTATTTTTACTACAATTATTGTTATCTTTCTTCGACTGAGCGACAGTTGTTGGCCGACTCTTTTCGGGTCTTACGGAGCCCGTTTTAAACCGCCGTTCCATTTCAGCAAAAATACACCGGGCCGTTCGCACATACGCGCAATAAATAGATAAAAAAAATAAAATAATCGAATCGAACAAAATACACACACGCCCGTCGTTCGTAAATACGCGCAATTAACCGATAAAAAGAACAATGCGATTTGAGAATCGAACCCGGATTAAACGGCGAAACGCGGTAAACGAAATAATGCATATTCTATAAATATTTCTATAACGTAATAAACAACGGACCGAGTCCCCGGGGAGGGGGGGGGCGGGTCGTTTCGATTTATCATCGTTTCGTATTATCTAAAATTCTAAAATTAGATAATTGTATACAGTTTTCTTATCGGTATTTTACGCAGTGTACATATCGGTGAATCGTGCGTGGCGTCCGAGTCTTCGCGAATTACGTATTCGTTTTAAAATAACGAACGATTTTGCAAATTTGTTGCGGTGTTACGAGCCCTCGGTAAGCGATCGCTGCATCGGGTAAACGGCCGACTCGAACGGGGGGGCGTTTCGCCGAATCCGACCGGAAGGACGCAGCGTACGCGTCCGCACGCGGGACGAACGGGCCGAATTTGTAAGAAGTATCGCGTCGTAACGATGCAATGTACTCGTATTGTGTAGGTATTGTTTTCATCCAAGAGTGCCGTCCTCCTTGTAATTAAATGCCGTAGTTAAATATTACTTATTAATTTTCCCCCGCATCTGACGTATCGCAACGCACCCACACGGGTACCGGGAAACAAATATCTTTACAATTATAAGTTTAATATAATACACGCGTTCCGAGTTTACTGGGGCAACGGAGTTCTGCGCCGCCCCCCCCCTTCCTCCTCCTTCTCCTCCCCCCCCCTCCCGTCACCCATTGGCCACGTCGTCGTCGTTGTTTATTATTATTATTATTATATTGTTTTCTTGACGTATACCTGCCTGCGCAGTACACACACTACGCGCACGACACGAGTAAATACATATATGTGTGTGTGTGTGTGTGTGTGGCGTTATCCGTCATGCCACTCGACGTGCGCATACAAATTGGTACAGGGTGACGGCGGGGTCGGGTACCTGTACGCGAACGACGTCGTAAGTTTCGCAAAGTACGAAAGTTCTCCCGCCGGCACGGACGCGACGCTCGACGATAAATTCACCTTACACGTTATCGTGTACAGGGTGTTCCGCCGGGCTCGCTGTTAAACGGCGAAAACGATATTACCGATTTGCGGGTTACCGCGCGAGTGTACGACTGTAAAAGTTACGCGACATAGGAAATCGCAATTGCAGCACCATAATAAAAAAAAAAGAAATGCGTACCTCGGTACAACTTAAAACGGGACGCGTTACAATAAGAAACTATTTATCGGATACGTTTCTACGCGTGACACGATAATACGCACTATTTTCAGAACAATAATATTGTACTGGCCGTTTCCGTTGCGCGGGCGATTTTGATATTTTTGAAAAACCGACAGACGAAAAAACATTTTTTTCTTACTATTATTAAGGGGCGTGAAAACCGAAATAAATAAAATGTGCTCCCCCTGACACAAAATCCGATTGAAAAATAAAAAAACTGACACCGTTGATCTGATGATGGATGTGCCACCGTTTTATATTGGAGGCAAGTTCGAATAGAGGATACACAGAGTAATTTGATTTACACGTGTACGTAACGGTAAACCGTTAATAACGAAATTCAATTCTGAACAAAGTATTATCAGTCGTATTTTTTCCCTCGACGCGACCCAGGAATCAATACAACGGTTGTACAGACACTCGTCGGTTTTTCCCGTTTATCAAGAGAGAAACAACAAAGAAAATCGAAAAATGATCTTATGTTAAATGCGACAACCGCGCCTCACAAAGAAATCGGTACCTACGCCGCAGCGTTCGGCCGGAGCGAAATTTCCGACGGCGTTGACTGGTCCATAGAGACACGCAGGAAAAAAAAAATAAAAACCCGCGTACGCGCGTCATGGGCGCAACCGTTGTACGTTCCTCGCTTCACTGGAAATCTAAAATTTCAATATTAACAAGAGACTATTGGGGAAAACGCGGTGAAACGTCCTGCATAACCCCGTGACAATACCGCGGGCGCGTAAGCGGGTACGCGAGCACGCCGTATCATGGCCGCGCGTTTACCGGCCGTTACGCGCACGACTTTACGTTACAATCCGATTTTCTCCCGACAGCCGTCCCGTAATAATAACAACGACGACGATATTAAAAAAAAATATCACGCGGTCCTTTTATATATTTCGTTTTTTTCCCCGAGTCCAATTTATTTTTTACGCCCGGAAAAACGCGACCGTTAACGCGCGGTGTTTTCGCCGGCGACCGACTGCGGCGGTTTTCTTACACTTGAGCCGCGCGCACGGTCACTGCCCGCGTTATTTTATCGTGCGGTCATCGGTTTTCTACCGGAACCGCAATAATATAATTTCCGAACCGAAACACATTACTGTCGGCTGTAAGGTTAGGTTAGGTTAGGTTAGTTCGCGAGTAGCTGTCGTAGAGTGAACACGTTCCTGTGCGTCGCTCCCGCTGAGTTTTTTTTCGGACAGTCGTCGTCCGGCTGACATTCCACCTGACCCAGGCGCTGACGGGGCACGGATGTTTTCAAGACTACCTGCACCGCAGGGGCAGAGCGGCTACCCCCTTGTGTCTGTTGTGCGGTGTGGGAGCGGAAGACACCGTGGAGCACACTCTGCTGGAGTGCGCGTTCTGGGAGCAGGAGAGGTCCGTCCTGGCGCGGTCCGCCCGGGTCGGGACCGTCGGAGTCGCCGATATGACTGAAATGGTGTGCGGTCCCGATCCGGCACTGCTGCCCGAAGATGATCCCGGGAGGAGGAAAAGGATTTTGGCAGCCGCCCAGTCCGTGACGGACGCCTTCCTGACGTTCGTTGAAGCGGTCCTGGGCAGGAAGGAGGCGCTCGAGCGTGACCGCCAACGGGCAGAAAGAAGGAGGAGGAGGCCGGAACGAGTGGTCTAGAGCGGCGGTCGGTCGGTTGACGGCTCGTGAAGAGGGTGAAGGTTCTATCACACTTGAACATATATATTGTATAATTTTATTTTAATACTGTGAGCCCACCCCCCCGCGTAAGGGGGTTACGGGATTTTTGGTTTCATTAATTGTATGAAATTGTAGTTGATTTATTTAATAAACGATGTGGCTGGAGGGGCAGTAATGCGCTAAGCAGGGCCCCCTCCTGCTGCGATACCACTAAAAAAAAAAANAGGTTAGGTTATGTTCGGCGGTTGAGGCTGACCCGTGGGGGCTCCCGTATAGGGTAGTCACCAAGAAGATTAGGCGGCAGCCAGGGCTAGAAGCGCGTGGTAGGGAGCTAGGAATTGCCGACCAGCTTTTCCCATTGAACCACGTAGTTGATTGGTCGAGGGTCGATCTCACCACGTTGAGAGGTGATTCAGCTAGCGTCACCAGCCATCCAAGTGACTGGTTTTCGGAAGAAGAGTTTAGATCAGCAATCTGCCGAATCCCTAGTGGTAAAGCCCCGGGTCCTGATGGAATTCCGAACGAGGTTCTTCGACAAGTTTCCTGCCTCAAGCCTTCGCTACTCCAGGGGGTGTTCAATTTATGCCTGAGGAGTAAGGTATTCCCCTCCATCTGGAAGAGAGCCAAACTCGTATTGCTGCATAAAGGGCCTGGAAAACCAACAAGCGAGGCATCGAGCTTCAGGCCTCTGAGCCTGCTCAACGCGGCAGGCAAGTTATTCGAGAGGTTAATCCTGGGGCGACTGGTAGTCCATCTTAATACCCCGGGACTGGGACTGAACCAGAGACAGTTTGGCTTCAGGAGGGGACGCTCTACTGTGGGAGCCATCTCAAGAGTGTTGGGAATAGCTAGGGAAGCAGCGAGAGGTGCAGTACAAAATAGGCACCTGTGCGCGATGGTCTCTCTGGACGTCAGAAATGCCTTTAATTCGGCGCCATGGGAGAAGATAGATGGTGCTCTCCGCAGGAAGCAGGTACCTAGGTACCTAGTTGAGCTCATTAGGTCATACCTGTCCGATAGGATGATTGTTGTCGGTGAGCGGAGGGTTTTTAAGGAAGTGACGTGTGGTGTTCCGCAGGGGTCGGTCCTTGGTCCGACACTGTGGAATGTTTTCTATGACTCGCTTCTGGATCTGGAGATGCCATCTGGAATCGAGTTGGTGGCGTTTGCTGACGATGTGGCGGTAGTGGGGGTGGCGCACACCGGAGAGCTGCTCGCCCAGATCCTGAACCCAGCCCTTGATAGGGTTGCTCGTTGGATGCGGGATAACGGGCTTAAGCTTGCTGCGCACAAGACGGTCGCGGTGCTTCTGACTAAGAAAAATGTGTACACCCTTCCGGAACTACTCATTGAGGGCCAGCCGGTTGAGTTCAGTCGGTCGGTCAGGTACCTAGGTGTAGAAATTGACCAGAGGCTCACGTTCACGGGACATGTAGGAAGGGTTGCGAAGGCGGCGGCGGAAACGGCTATGGCCATCTGTCGGCTGATGCCGAACGTTGGCGGGCCGAGTGCGGCTAAAAGAAGACTCCTGGGAACGGTGGTGCAGAGTAAGCTGCTGTACGCCGCTCCGATTTGGGCCGACACTGCGTTTTCCAGCGAGAGGAATAGAGGCGTAGCAAATCGCCAACAACGCAGGGTGGCCCTGAGGGTTATTCGGGCCTACAGAACAGTTTCTGACCAGGCAGCTATGGTGCTTGCGGAGCTGCCCCCAATAGATCTGTTGGCTTCTGAGCGCGGACGGGTAGCGATCGCTCTAAGTAAGGACGCAATTGGAATGGACGTAAGGACGATCAAGGCTGCAGAAAGGGGGGTTACAATCTCTGAATGGGGTGCTCGCTGGCAGCGGACGGAGAAAGCAGCATGGACCAGGTACCTGATTCCGGACCTAGCGGGGTGGCTGACTAGGGTCATCAAGGTTACCCCTACCTACCACTTAACCCAGGTGCTGACGGGCCATGGCTGTTTCCAGGCGTACCTATACCGGATGGGGCTGGCGGGCAGCCCGGAGTGTCTGCTCTGTGGACATGTTGAGGACTCGGTTGAGCACACCATTGTGGACTGCCCTTACTGGAATAACGAAAGGGTACCGGTATTGAGGATGATCAATGGCGGGCAACTCAGCGTTAACCTCATTAGTAAGATTATCTGTGGACCTTCAAGAGTAGACCTTCCACCTCAAGGGGGTGTTCAGATAGTGAGGGCAGCGCAGGCATTATGTGACTGCTTTGTGGATATGTGCCACTCCATTATGCTGGAAAAGGAGAAGCTGGAGAGGGGACGCCAGGCAGAAGAACGGACCGCAGTGATCTAGCTGCAGCCACTCAAGTTGCAGACTGACTAAGGACGGTAGTACGACAGACCATCGTAGCTGTCGGAGGCGCCACCGACACCGTTCTTAGAATTATGGCGTCGGGCGGGCGGGCGGCCAGTGGCGTTGGATCCACTTATCTGACGCCACTGGTTTCCGGTCTAGGACTTTCCTAAGCCAGGAAACAACATGAACGTGATTTCGAGGGTGGCGGGCATCGACGGCCTGTGAAGAGGACAGACGGGTACGCGACTTCCAGGGTGGTGGGCATCGCCGGTCCGAGAAGCGGGACCAACATTACAGAGGTGTCGAGCGCCAGCAGAAGACTGCAATTGCTATGTTGTTATAGTTGTATTATTAAGCTATCATTATTAAGTTGTATTATATTGTTGTAATTATTAAGTTATTATTATTAAGTTGTATTATTTGTTGTAATTTTGTTGATGTCAAATAAATGATGGTGGCCGGGCGGAAGTATTGTTGACGCAGTTCCCGCCCGGTTATCGACTTACAGTTGGAAAAAAAAAA